AACAGCACATCAGGCTGTAAACTTTACAAATCAAGTCTCAAAATTACATAACCACAAAATAACTATGATGGAAGTAGAGAAGGGTAACAAAAATGGAGGGCAATGCGACTTGTGTCCGCTCGCTGTGCCGATTCTCTCCGTTCTGGTCCTGACTGTCAAAGTCAATGAAACCACTTTTATCCCAGACGCTTGTACGCTTGTCTCCTCTACAAAGACATTAATTTGGAATGATGTGTGGGTATAGCAGAAAGTAAACTACTTTTTGACTACTTTAACCCCTTGACGCCGATTGTTGCGAATTCGCATCGCACCTCTTCCTTTCAGACTGCAGCCAAGATAGCGCATGTATTCCCCCGATTCCTGTTTGTGCATATTTGATAAGTACCTAGGAACCTTTTGTAAGCCCTGGTTTCTCGTTTATTTCTCATTGATCATAACCACATCATACCTGAATTTATATCTTTTCTATGTTCCATAGACAAATTAACAATCTTCACTTAATTTAACATCAGCCTGAAAGCAAATGAATTTATTTTATTTTTGTTATTGTAAAAAAAAAAAAAATCAGGCATCAAGGGGTTAATAATTAATAAAAAGGTATCTTCAAGTGCCTTCTAATTCTTCAAATTTCTGCTCTGGTTCTCACTTGCTGACATATGCAACATTGTCAGTTAGCATTGTCATCATTGTTAGCAATTTAAGCACTGTCATAACTGTTAACAAAATAGACAATCTGTGTTGCCATAACAACTTTAGCATAACTCTTAACAATAATCTCCATATGTGATGTACTAATGCTGCTTCAAGCCGTTATATTTTAGTTGACACTATACTGCAGTGCGGCAGAAACTAAAAGAACAGTTTGTGGTTTAATGTCTTGCTTAAAGACAATAACAATATCAATTTATGAAGAAATTAGCTGCTGCAGGCATCAAATCTGCAGCTTTTGTAATCACTCCTCGAGCCTCAGTGTTTTATCTGTAACAAGGTGGCCCATGAGAACATAAAATGGTCTGGAAATGAGGGTTCAGGGGATACAAAAAATCCACTCAGTGCATCAAAACCACAGAGCTGTGGGGCATGTTGGCTTTCACCTAGGTGCTATCAAGGTCAACCACAGCTGAGTAAAGTGCTCAACTGGATTAAAATACCAATTAAATATTATATATATATATTATAACACTATGCTGTTGGATGCTTACACCTGCTGTGACACTTGAGGATAGAGTCCAGTAGGTCTATAATGTCCACAGCTATGGTACAAATCTTTATTACCGATACTTATATCACTGCAACATGTAAAAAAAGACTTGTAAAAAGAAACCATTTTGCTTTATTGAAATGTAAAGACAGCAGTAGTTTTTAAACAGGGTCTAATTGAAACGTAATTACGCAGCAACTGATATGTCATACACTGTTACAGACAGCGCATTTCATGAGTTTTGGAAGTGCAGGAAAGGACAAAGTCAGGTGACCTTCATAATCATATGAATATCATATAATGCCATTTGGTTACCAGACTGACAGGAAATCCACCGACACAAACCTATAGTTTGTTCTGATAAACAGTCAGTACAAACACAAAATACACACCATTACACCATTACAGGGACAAAACTTGCACAATGTCACCTAAGTCTAGGAAATATTTGCACCAATAATACAAGTTGGCGTGCAAAAAGTCTACAGTCTGAATTATTGGAGGTATTAAAATAAACCAAATTAAAATGAATGTTTGAAAAAGTATCAGCTTTAAAATGATTATCAAGCCTGTTGTTGAGGCCTGGGCAGGGCTGTAGAAGCTAACATTAACAGAAAGGTGAACACAGAAGGTGTGGAAGCAAACACATGTAAACACACACACCAACACTGCCATTAGCCAGCAGGCTTTTGAACATCTGTCATACCTGTCTCCTCCAATCCCATCACACACTCACACACTCACATACTCAGACACACACAAACACACACACACACACACACACACACACACACACACACACACACACACACAGAGCACCTCGTAAATGGTTGTGACAGCTCAAAACAGCGCCACTAGCCTATGAACACATGTTCCTTTCTACTACACTTTACACACAAACCAAACCCCCCCACACACACACAGTGACCATCACCTTTGTCCCACTTCACATCAGCCATCTTTGTCTTTGTCACAGTTCGTTCACTTTATTCTCCACCACTTCCCTCTCTTTTCTTCCTCCTCGCATCTTTCTTTCTTTCTTTCCTTTCTGCTCTTCCCTATATCATCCTCCTCCTCTCCTCCTTGCTGCATATATTCTCCATCTATCTGGAGAACGAATGAATGAATGAATGAATTAATGTATCTATCTATCTATCTATCTATCTATCTATCTATCTATCTATCTATCTATCGATCTGGTGGCTATGACTGTGTGTGTATGTACGTGTCTGTGTTTGTGCATGTCTTTGAACTGTAGGCAAAGACAGAGCCTGTGTATTCCTTTGTGCCATACAGCTCCATTGTTGTCCAAAAACTTTTAAAAACATCAGTGTGCCACATGATGGTGACATGTTCCTTTATGACAATGAAAAAACACACACACACACACACACACACACACACACACAGTTTTTTGTCAAAAATATGGCATGTAAAATGTGCATTAATCCACAGCTGAAAATAGTCTCCAACAAATGTTTTGTTGCATTGCTGCTTGAGCAACATTTGCTAAAATCAACTGAGCCCTTTAATGAGAAAAATAAAAAAAAATTATAAACAATATTGGATAATGTCAGCTTTATCATTTAGGATGGAAGCAAAGGGTAGATAGTAAGGAGGTTTACAGGAAGAGATTGAGGGGAAAGGTGAAGAGGTGAAAGGAATGAGAGAGAGAGAGTGTGTTTGTTACCACTACTGTTAACACATAATTTTCACCTGCTGATTAGCACAGAGTAATATATTCAGTGGGGGTGGACAGAATAAACCACAAATACAATGACACACACACGATGAAATAAAAACACAGACTCAAAATGCGCAAAATCAGGAACACGCACACAGAGACATCAAATTCCAATTATTAAACTAAAGTTTCGACATCCTGGGAACAAAAAAAAAACTAGAGCCACAACACACATACAATCACACACACTAGCTACATTTTCTTACAGGCAAGATAAAGTCATCATCAGTAACAGACAAAAAAAAAGAAAAAATACAACAGGGATGCAGCACTATTCAAATGTACTCACTCCACTATGAATAAAAGGTTAGATGCAGATTGAGTAAAATCTCTTTTCAGACCAGCACCTTCATGCTTTCACCAAACTCTCCTCACTCCCTTTTTCTCATCCTCCCTTTGTCTTACTCCCGCCATCTCTACTCCTCTCAGCAAAAAAAAAAATTCACTTACAAAGGCTTTTGTCTCTTTTATTCACATCAGAAAATCCTCTTGAGAAAAATGTCTGAACAAGAATGACAAAGAAAAGGTAAAAAAAAAAAAAAAGATAAAGGTGGAATAGAAATGGAGAGATGGGGAACGTGGAAAACAGATAGAAGGGGTGGGGGTGGGGGGGCATGAGAGAACTTTGGTAGAAGGAGGGACAAAGAAACTGAATAAAAGAAATAAGAAAATGAGAGTTCAAAATTGAAATATGAAAGTAAACAAGACACAGGGAGAATAGGGTGTTAACAGGAAAGGAGAATCGGAGGAGACAAGGAAGGACTGAGCAAAGGAACACAATTGTGAGCGAGGAGAGAAAAGGGAAAGAAAAAGAAGGCAGGGAAAAGGACACAAAGAAGTAGAGTGAATGAGTGATAGAGAAAGAGAGCAGAAGAAAGGAGTATGACGAAATGGGAAATAGAAATAGGGAAAGAAACAAAGAAAAAAGACAATGAAAGCAATGAGAAGAGAGGTTAAAAGGGGAAGAATTAATGAGGAGAGAAGAGAAATGTACTAACTGAGTACAGGCTCAGTGACCACAAACGATCAAAAAAAGGAAGATGCAAAAAAATCATGGTGACCAAAACAAAACCTAATATGTGGTCATGTTTGACAGGTGATGTGGAGATAGAGATGCACTTCCTCCTACAAAAAAAGTCTACATTTTATCATCACATTATTTTTCTATCTTAATTGACTTGTGTTTTTCTTACAACATAATTCTTCTGTTTATGATCATGTTTTTATTTTCCATTTGCTTTGGCAATGTTAACGTCTGTTTCCCATGCAAATCAAGTCAAACTGAATTGAAGTGAAAAGAACAAGTGTGACTAAACAAAGACATCAATAGCAAACGAAATGGAACAGCAAACGAAACAGTTTGTCGATGAAAAAAGAAAGAGGAAGGAAGGAATAAAGGAAGTTCACAAAGAGGAGTGGTGATGATTACTTCCTACTGGGTTATCTAGTCATCCCCTCACACACACACAGTCCATCAGAGACCTGATGGGCTGTCACTTTATCAAATTAACTGCCACTCTTTGTGTCCTTACACTCCCGCTGGGATCCTCATTATCAGTCATGATTGCCCCCACCTAACCTCCCCCATCTTCTGCTCCTCCTCACCTCCTTTAACCCCCGCATTCCACCTCTCCTTCATCTCCGGGGCACCTTCTTGATATCTCAATTATCATCATCTTTGATTTGTGCTCTCGTTATCAAGAAGAAATAATTGGGGGAAAAAACTCCTCTCCTTTTGCTCATCTTCCATCTGGCCTCTCTGTCTGCAGATCGAATTTATCAGACCTGACTTTAACCATACTCAAACCATAGTTAATTTACCTTTACTACAATCACCCAATAACATTCAACTTGACGAGTGAGTTGAGTTTTCAGTTCACACTTAAAGAACATGAGCATGACCATCCTGGAGTCATCCACTATCACTATCACAAAAAAGGCAAGTAAAAGAACAGGAAACTTAAGAAGAAATCTAAAACTTCAAGTAAAACCTAAAAGAACGAAAGAAAGAAAGAGAAAGCTTTAAGATAAAAAGAATTAAAAGGTGTCACTTACCTGCACATTTAGTCCTGGTGACCAGCGACGGCCCCGGAGGCCCAGTTCCTCCCTCCCCAGGTCTGGATAGCAGAACCTTGATCTCATACTCCACATCTGGGTCCAGATGCCACAGTTTATAGGTGGGGGAGTCCACCACGTGGGTCTCCGCCCAGTTCCCTGAAGTGGTGCGGTACTCCACCTCCTTCAGGATGATCGGTCCATCGCCGATGATGCTGTTAGCGTTCGGTTTGATCCAAAGGTAGGTGGCACCAACAGCAAGAAGCTCAGGCGGAGCAATGGGAGTGGGTGGAGCTGTGAAATGAGAACATAGGTGGTTAGTTAAGTGTAGATTCAGATATTTCTTTGTTAAAGTTTAACTAAATCAGAGAATATTCTATTGAAAAATATGCAGTTCAGTCTCAGAGGCAATCAGAAAACAAATACATCACCGTGTTTTGCCTGTAACTGTACCCCCATCTGAGTTTATCACAATTCGAATACATTACAGGACTCATCTTCCTCAAAACTATATTAAAGTCTTCAGTGGTGCCTATGTGTGTAACACTCAAACCAATGCATTAATGTTGTTTAACACAAACACTCCCTTGGGCTGCTCACACAATTTGAAATGCATTTTTTGTACCTCTTATTTTCAAAGATATTTTCAAATGGATTGATTTCCCCAATAAAAATCGATAAACATGATGAAATAAGGTTAAAGGTCCAATGTTTTAAAAACGGATTTTTTCTTTCAAAGCTTGGCACTCCATCAATCTCAGTACAGTCTGTTGTGAATGCATCAATAACCACTGTTACTCGAGTCAGATACTAACATTTTGCATTGTGTTGTTAAACCTTGGACCCTAATAGACCTTTGGAATTTGTTACTGTTATTGTGTTAACGAACCAAATGCCAATGTGATCAAGGAAGCCTATTTTGCCATCACAGCCACATGCTGTATGTGACTACACCTACTACTAGTAACAATGTGGAGGCTTACCTTTTGCAATGAAAACAGCAGCCACTAAAAGCTCAAAAAAGGAGATGTTTTACAGAATGAATTCTCTACCTGTAGCACTAATCCATCACATTGTTGTCATGCTGCTGACAGCTACTTTGCCACTAGACTTTCACATTATGCTACTTTAAAATAATGGCCTCTGTCAAGCCTAAAAGCATAGGATGTTTTATTACTCCCGTTTTTCCTCTCTTCTTTTTCAAAACTAAACTCAAGACAGCAGCTTCTTTTCAAAATGAAAATAACATCCATATGAATAGTGGGACCTCATTGGAATGATGAAAAAAAAAAAAAGGTTGACTTCTACTCAACCCTAAATCCACAAGCCAATACTGACACTCTCCACTATTTGTGCATGGATGTATGTGAGAGGAATTAAAATAAAAAAATGTATTTATTTACATCCACTGTGTGAGCAGTGTTTGCTTCCTCTCCACTGATGGTGGTAAGACCAGGTGATAACATATACCCCTGCACAAGGTTTTCTGAATCTCTGTATTCTCTCTACAGCAATGAGAGGCAGACTTATTGGTGTTAACAAAATGACGTCAACACAAAGCAACTTGAAGCTGAAACACACTCATACGTTGAAGAGCAACATGAGCAGATGGAAACAATGACACAGATATTATTTGGAGCCTTTCTATTGGTCAGACTGCCATTAAGAATCCTGTTCATCTGCATAAACTATGTTAATAACCATGAACAGCTCCAACAATTCTGACCGTCCCAGGATCAGCACCTTGGACAGCAGTCGTAACACACCGTTGAGCAGAATGATGTCGAAGATCAGTTTGACAGAAAATATGTGAAGATGCTAACTAGATTGGGCTGACTTCTTTATAATCTTGAACCTTTATCACAGTTTAACATAATGTTATTTGTGTTTAGTTCTCACATAAGTAATTTTTTTAAGGCAAAAGTGCACAATTTACTTAAATATGCACATAGCTCTCCAACATGTAGAAGTTGAAAATCTCCAGTTTTTGATGAAAATAGTTGTCTGTTAAACATTTATTTCATGCTTCTCGCTAGAAACGATCTAATAAATAAAATGCAAGAACCACTGCTTCTCAGAATCTTTAGATTTGAAGCATATTTGATGGAGCAGACACATTGTTTTAATGCATCTTGAGAAATTCATGTTGCAGTTTTAAAATTAAATTCACTTTAACGCTGTTTCATTTCTATTATCACACCAATGCCCAGCAAACCAGTGATATTATTATTCGTCAATCATTGATCCTCAATAAGAGCAAAAGAGCCATTATAATATCACAGACTCCATAAAGTAATGATACTAATAGGTCATTTCAAAAAGAAAAGCATGCATGATGAAGGGCCATTCAAACATACCATGGTACACAGTGTTTTGAAAATTTACTTCTCACTCCATACAGTAAGCTTTTCATCAATTTCAGATTGAAGTCTAGGTTTCTTAGTATTAATGATTTTTTTTCTCTATGACAGGTGCTTTGTCAGTTGACAGCTACTTTATGCAAGCTAAGAATAATGGTCCCTTTCCTCCCGCTGTCTAAAAGCAAAGTCCTGATCTCACTCTGCAAGTTTTTACTTCCCTCAAGGCCCTATTAGAATATGTATGGTGGCTGCGGGACCGATGAATCAACTGTCACTCACCGCACGCTCATCCATCTGAACTATATGGAGGCTGTGAGTGAGTGTGTCTCTGATTCTGTGTGTGCATTCGTGAGTGCAGTGACAACAAGCATCTCTATGTTTGTGGGAGAGAAGGAGTTATGTTCATTCACAAACTACTGTTCTTGTGATGAAGTACCAATAATTTCCTTCAAAAAAAGAAAGAACATTTAAAGAAATAAAAACAAGAAAATAAATTATCCTCATCATCCTGAAATACAGAGAACAATTTTGTCAATGAAGGCTTTAGTTACTTACTTAAATGTTCAGTTTCCTTTTCATTTTGTGTGTCACGTTTTGTAAATGGTCTCTGATCTTAATAAAAGAGCACTTCACTTTTTCCAGGATAGTTTTAAGAGTGATTCACTGGAAGCAGACATAATGGTCTCATCCTGTTGCAATTTTCTTTACTTGTTTAGAACAAAGGTAGATTAACAAACTCGTAGATGTGTTTCACATGTAAATGTGCTGCTCAAAAAATTATTTTTAAATCTGAAGCAAAGCAACACAGACTGGTCAGATGAAAAATAAAGTACACATAGTGTAGTTTGTTATATACCACACATCCAAAATCTTCCTTTTTGCTTCAAAAAACCTTCCTTAAACAGCAGCCCAGCAGCTAACTGTGTTTTACAACTGCTTTAACAGAGACTCAACTATTCATTAACATCATTTATGTTCAACATCTTCTCCTGATGGGACTGAAGAAAGCGCAAGATCATTAAATCTCGACTCCTGCTGTTTCCTCCCACCATCCCTGCCTCTGCCAGCTCGTTTACAGCAGAGAGTTACAGGGGCCTCCCAGTGACACACAACCTGGTACATATGATGACATGGGGGGAGCACACACACCCTTACAAAAAGACACACATACCTGTACCTACTGAATGTATATTAATGCAGCCACACAGATTGAAGCGCGGGCTTGCATGTACATGTACAGAAAGATTCATGTACTTGCACATTCACATTTGGAACTGGAGGCTAGCCCAGAAATGAAGACACACACCCACTATAGACCCACCCACAGAAACACATTTTTACACACAAATGCATCCATCTGCACAAACACACACACAAACACACACAGTATACACACATTCTCACATGTAAACATAAATAGTATACAGAAAGACTTATTGCTAATCAACTACAGCTGGCCTTCATGCACTTGCGCTAATGAAGTGTGAGAGGAAGGATAAAGGACAAGATCCTTCATGGAGGGAGTAAAAGAGGGAAGGCTACGGGATTGACAGGAACCATGGGTATCAGAAGAAAGATTTGGTCCAGAAAAGGGAACAAAAAGGTGGAAGAAGGAGAAGAAAAAATGACAAAAAGAAGGTTGAACTTGAACCAAAACGGAGGGAGTAGAGGGTGCTTGGGGGGGAAAAAAGAGTAAGGAGGATGAGGTGAAGGATGAACTGAACAAGATAGCTCCAAACTTTGCTGCATTGCTGATCGTTTGAGGAACACAGTTCAGTGTGTGAACTGTCTGTGCAGTGAGTAAACCTCACTCCCCGACACCTTGAGACACGCACTGGCGACTGACGCCAGAGCCTATGGGCTTTAACCTCCTTGTCAGAGTGACCGCCTTCCGTACCTTAGAACGCCAGTTTGACTCCAGATCATGCAGTACGTACGCGGGGGCAGCCGGTTACATTAGCATGCAGGTTAACTTAGCAACAATTCGTCTGCTTTGTGCTATGCCTTAAATAAACTTTATTAAGGAATTAAAAAACTAGGGTTATTGTATGCACCATTTAATCTTTTATATAAAAAGCTTGTTTTGGATGCATTTTCCAATACACTTTTCAAACAATGCGCACTACAAAATAAATATTGTCCACAGCACTCTGAATCACTCAGAGCCCAGTCTGATCCATTACTGAATATGCTTGACAGCCACACCAAAAGCTGAGTTGATAAGGATTCACAGTTTTACATTTATTAGGTAACCCAAGGTCTACATTATATTTATTTTGTTTCATTACAGACAAACTGACTGGCACTATGCAGAAAGTATGGTATGTAGCTTGAAGGACACACAATGTGTCTTGATTTAGGCCGATAACCAATAGACTCATGTAGAGAGAGGTGAACAACAACCTTATCTGGACACTTAGTGAATCTCTGTAGGTCTAGGTTAAATATCCCCAGAGATTAGATTTGGTGTTGGCATTCTATTTATTCACACGTTGTATGCTGGCGCTGTATCTCCTCGGCCGGGATCAATAAACCATGCTGTAAATCTTCAGTCTTCGAAACTTCTTCATCACACGTGAACCTGGCTCACAAGTAATGGTATAAGTCAGATAATACATTCCCAGGTGTCCTGATGCAGAACGTAATCCAAAGTGTTGCTTTTTTTTTAATAGCAAGACACTTTGCGGTGCATTACACATATTTCACAAACACTATTAGTTGGAGGTTTTCAAAGAAGAGAGAAAAGAGTTTTCAATTGCAAAAAAAAAATTATATTAATAGGAACTAGAAGAGACAAGATGTCTGCAGGAGACATTCTCCCACAGTGTTTTGTCTCTGCAGAAGCCACACTCACACTGTAGCAAAAACAAGTAGGACTCATGAAGTTTTTAAATGGGATACAGCAGGAATACAGCACTGTAACTGTGGGCCAAT